TGATGTCAGTAAGACTTTTTAAGAAAGTTTGTAAAGGTACTATAAACATATAATTGGGGAGTTTGCTAGTTAACAATTATCTTGTATGGGGGCCTGTGAGATAGGTTACTGTCAGATTTACCAATTATATAACAGCGTAGTTTGGTTCTATTATGATATCATTAATAATCATTAATATTTTTTTTATTTAGAAAGGGCGATGCACATTCAGGGAAAATTAGAGCTGTGTGGAGAGTGAGCAGCCCCACCTTGGGCTGGGTCCGATGTTTTCAGAAGGGCTGTATCAGGAGTTGGGCTGGAGGTGGGGCCAGGTGGAGCTGCCCAATTTTGTGCCTGTTTTCCCTGCACTTACCTGTGTCCCTCATTTTACAAGGGCATGGGCCAAGGGGATGTTGCTCAAGATTTATAACTGGGCCTAAGAAGGTTATCTAAGTCCTTTTTTACCTACAGAACAGCATGGAAATTTTGAGTGTCCACTAGTATTATTAAAAGGGACAAAAAGGATTTTATTATCTAACTTGCTATTAAATAAGTAGGCTGAAGAGGCACCTGCCTCTGTGTGTGTGTGTGTGTGTGTGTGTGTATAACATAGAAGTATATCTTGAAGAAAATTTCATGACCTTTCAAATAGAGGGTCATATTTATTTCTGGAATCTGTAAAGTTTTAAAAAGAAAAAGCCCATAAAGTCTTTTTGTATTCCTTACTGGGGGAATGAAGAGTGGAGGAACTGGGAGAAGGGATTGTGGATGGGACTGAGAGGAGGAATGGACAAGCTAAAGGTGGGAATGGAGGACAGGAGTCGGAGGCAGAGGGCGAGAGTGAGCTGGAGAAGGAAGAAGGTTTCTAAGGATGTTTGGTCGTCTTGCCATCTAGTGCCCTTTAACTGCCGCTTTCTCGTGGCTTGATGCTTTTATATTTTTGCAACCCTTACTTTCAGAAACTCGTTGAGGAATAATTAAACAACTTATGGTGGAAGCTTTCCCCAGCCATAAACCAAGAGCTGCCAGAGAAGCGTAGCGTTTCTAACCAGTTGAAACCAGTCTTTACCTGTATTTTAATTTATTACAGTGAAGCGCATACATAGGAAAAGTTGTAGTCAGTCATAAGCTTTTGAAATTGCGTTTTGGCAAAGTGTGATTTTTTTTGTTGTTATTGTGAGACAATTTTATTGAATATTATCTTTTATTATTTACCTTTTATGTTTTCTGTTTTTTCCATTTTCTGCCATATCAAATTACTATGGAGCACAGATTGGAATCCAGCTGTTGAGGTTGTTCTCTATTCAGGGAAAAGTATCCTTGCCTGGGCTGCTGGCTGATCTGCAGTTGCCCGTGTGAGAGGAAAGTGGAGCCTGGTAACTGAACTTTGCAAAGGGTTTCTCCTGTACCGTGCATTTCTTGCCTTCCTCGTATTTGCTTCTTACCAAAATTAAGGCCTCAGAATGATGGATGATCTGATGAACCTCATGGACATTAGAAAAGTCAGGAAGACTGGACGATTTGGAGAAAAATGAACCAAACTGGAGAGATCAACAATTTTCAGAAAATGATATATCTTCTTTGAATGGAAAGCTAATTTCTGTCTCCCACTTTCCCATCCCATCCCGTCTTTGGATGCATGTATTTATTTCTTTAGTTGGACCTTCACTTTGCTTATCTGAGTTTTTCTTGTACCTCTTTTTCAATTTCATGTGTTCATTTTTTTTTTTTTTTTTTTGACACGTATTAATCAAAGGCCAAGTTACAGTGCAGGTTGGGCCCTCTCCTTGGGACTGACATCAGATGCACTTGAGGGCAGCCCAGCTGGCTCACATCTAAGTCTCTTCTCCAAGGCCACCTCCTTCCAGCCCCACCACCAATAGGGCTGCACACAAGGTCCCCTGTATGACTGTCAGTGTCTTCTTTCTAGCTCCTGGATGACAGTCAACCTGAGATAGCAGAAGTTTAGTGGCAAATCGACGTTTAACATGAGCTGAAAGAGCTGCAGGGCACATAGTAGGTAAGGGCCTAATAAATATTTGATGGATGTACAAAGAAATGAATGTGCAAAGGAATATAGCTGCTAACTGAAGTCCTTCAGGAACGAAGCTGTTGAGGCGAGAGCTTCTGTCCGTAAGTATGGCCAATTAAGTGTGCAGATTTAAGCATGAGTGTGTCCCAGTGTGTGTCCATTACTGATTGCTGCAGCCCGCAGGTTCCCCAGTGAAATCATATGCAAGCCTGCCCTGACAGGAACTGCTTGCCAGATGAGTCATCACGGGACTCCCCAAGAAAAAAGGGTGTCAGCCTGGGGATTCCACACTTAGCTTTACCTTTAGTATGAAAGGCCTTCTGTGACCCAAGGCTTGGAAGAATGGAATCTCATTAGAACTGATGCTTGAAACCTGGGCTTCCTCCAGTTGATTAGCAGCAAGACCTACTGGCACACTTTTTTTGGATTGAATTGGCAGGGTTCTCGAGTCCAGGGCTTCCCACTTGCACAGGCTCTCGGTTCTTTGTTTTCCACCAGGTCCTTGTCACACGGAGTACTTCAGCAGCCTTGATGAGAGCAGTAAAGACTGTTGTTTCTGTGGCTGCTGATTCCCTGTTACAGCTCTTCCCCCTTCTGTGATTTGATCTGAAGTCTCAGCCCACCAGGGGCCGTTGGTCCCACCTCTGCCCTTCCCAGAGCTGACTGGTTTTCTGCATGGCTGCTGTTTCCATGCTCTTCACGGTGACTTTCCCTCTGTATTCCTCTCCAGCAGCAAGGCACTGCTCCAGAATCTCGCTCTCCACAGAAGGCATAACATGGAACCATTTGGATGGAAAAATTATAAATTAAAATTATTCTGTTCACTTTAAAATATTCATATTGTGTTGCTCAAATGCCAGTAACTGGAAAATCATGGATAATGTCCTGTTTTCAAAACATCTTTGAGAATGTTTGAGATCTGTTTGTGTTGTTGCTCGCCATCTCTCTTCCTGGAGTGGATTTTATGATAAAGTATTTTTTTAAAAGGTTGCATGAGTCCAGAGTCTGATGGCATATATAATATTAAGAATTTAAAATGACACCATTAATTGCAGTTCATTTTTACATAGAAAAATGTTTCGTGTACAGAGCATGTTTATAAAAATTTTAAGACTTACAAAGATAGCCAGTAGACATGCCAGCCTCTTTCTTGGTAGCCAGTGATACGCCATACTCTTCTTATGAAATGATTAAAACTAAGCAAAGATTGATTATTTCCGGAGCTTATATACTTAAACAAAGAAAACCTTTATATTCACAACACAACTGTTATTTTGTTTGTTTTTTTGTGGGGGGGGAGGGGATCTTAGGGTTTGAATCAGGGGTGCTTTATCACTGAGTACATCCCCATCCCCCCCTTTTTTTATTTTGAGATGGGGTTCACCTAAGTTTCCAGGGCTGACCTTGAACTTGGGCTTCTCTTGTTGGAGTCTATAGAGTAGCTGGGATCATAACATGTGCCACGAGGCCTGGTTAGGATTTTTATACTAAAAATATCTCTTTTTTTTTTTTTTTTTTTAACTGGAGCCCTCTTTTGAGATCTTCTGTTCTCATTGCTAAACAGTGATCCTTTAGTTTGGGAAACTAAAATTGTATTTCTATCTTTGTATTTTCCATGTTGTGTGGGTGTGGGGGGGGCTGTGTGTGTGTCTCAGAAAGCTAGGGAAAAGCTGGGGTGTAGCTTAGTGACAGAGTGTGTGCCCAGCATGCGCAAGGTCCGGAGTTCAATCCTAGCACTGGGGGGAAAAAAAGATATGACCATTAGAAGATTAGATTTTTTTTAATAAAGTGAATTTGTCCCTTATTCTAAAGCAAAGAATTGTGATTAGAAATCTTAACTCCAAGCTGTGGAAAAATCTTGATTTTTGGGTTTTTTGGGTTTTTTTGCCTTTTTATGCTGTAAATTTTATCCATGTTCCTGTAAATGCCATATGTTGTATTTGTTGTCTCTCTTGGCTCGGAAAATTTAAATGTAGTTTTGAAACTCTTGTGTCAACTAAAGTCAATTTAAAATGATAATGTCAAGACACTTTCTAGAAACTTCCACTTTGGTTTGGACTGACGTCCTAGCTCGTGCGCCTGCCTGTGTGTTGAGGCTCTTCAGAGGCAGGAAGTCACTGGAGCATGAACGTTTTCACAGGCTGGTTCCTCTGTGTTAGCCTGCGAGTCACTTGGCCTTCTGCAGTAGGCTGATCCTTTAATTGAATATGGGTTCAAACATGTTCTGTGTGTGCACCAGGAAACCCTGGGTGGCTCTCCTTCACTCTGTTTTATTCATTTGAAATGGCATTAGGTGATCCAAAGGATTTCCTCTTGATTTTTGGAAGGATGTTTTTGCAAGCTCTAATATTTGACGAGAGGATTCTTTATGATAACAAAAATATAAATGCACTTTCTTTAAGTCTGACTGGTGGGAAATAGGGGGCATGCAGTCTGGGAATGGCCTTCCAACACAAACACCGTTTATGCTGCGACCAACATTTTTGGATACGGCAATAAAATGAACAGTATTTTTAACTGAATAAAGAAGAAAGATTAGAATAAACTACTACAGGGAAGTAGTTCCTTGGAATTAGTAAGTTGACAGTTTTCCTTGGGTTGGTGATAGGCTGACTGCTGACAGTACCTGTTCTCTCCAGGGACAGTTTCAGTTCCAGGGCTCCTGGTGTTCAATAAGCTGGGTATTCTCTGAGGTGGGCCTGAAGCCCTAGCCCTGACCAGAGTGCTGGGAAGGGAGCTCAGTTGAACCGATTGGCTGTGAGCGTCAATCACTTCCTGGGACACACTGACAATTTACAACATCGGGTAACTCGGTGGTGTTCATAAACCGAACTTAATGACCCCTGCCACTAAGGGATGGCTGCATTTCCCTGCAACTGAGGACCCAGACTGCCTGCGTCATGGTGTCAGCGGCTGCATTAGGAGGGTGAGCAGCTGTAGGGTGCAGCAGCTCTGAACAGATTTGTTCCTTATCTCCTTTGATTCGCAGAGGGTGTCTGTGAGATCTGGTTGACCAGTGAAGACACGGGGGCCTACGGCAGGGATATCGGCACCGACCTCCCCTCGCTCCTGTGGCGCCTGGTTGAAGTCATTCCCGAGGGAGCGATGCTGAGGCTCGGCATGACGAACCCCCCCTATATCCTAGAGCATCTGGAGGTAAGGACAGTGACCTGGTGACACCATTGCCCGCCCAACCCTGAGGCTGCCCAGGATGGTCTCCTCAGCTTCACTGGAAGCCATTTCACCTTTGTGGTGGCCCCTCACAGCGGCGAATCGAGTCTTTCAGGTCCCCTTGTGTCAGTCCACGCGGTTTGTTGCTGCTTCCTCATCATCAGTGAATGCTCCTTATGTTTTTCAATACTTGACACCTTCTCCTGGGTGCTTGTCGGCTCCTTGCAGTCCTTCAGTTCCCCACACCTAAGGTCCCCTCCACCCCACCCTGCCTACTTCAGAACTGGTAATAAGTTGTATTAATTTTGCAGTCAACAGCCAATATGATGTCATCCAAACTCCGTTAGCCATGTTAGTAAGAATACTGCACCCTGTGTTTAGGGGTTATTGAGTTTGTCCCTTTGTCCAGGGAAAGAGTGGAATCAAACAACACAGAGTGATGCCCTTCCATTTGATTCATCTTGATCACTGAGAGCAGAGAAGGAGGCGTCCCTCAGGCCGCTGGTTTCATCTTTATATCCACAGACCAGGACGTTCGCCTTACATAGCTAGGTGTCAGACTAGAAAAAACAGCAGCTGTTACAGATGACAAATGCCATAGTAAACTGAGCCCACATGCCTGTAATCCCAGCAACTTGGGAGGCAGGAGGATCACAAATTCAAGGCCAGCCTCAGCAATTTTGGGAGGTCCTAAGCAACTTAATGGGACCCTGACTCAAAATTCAAAAAATAGAAAGGGTTGGTGATATAGCTCAGGGGTAAGGTACCTCTGGGTTTAATCCCTTATGGTGTTGGTGGTACTACTACTGCTACTACTACTAATAATAATAATAATAATAATAAGAGAAAGAATATCTGAGCAAAGAGTGTGGACAGGGGAACAACCATGTAAATGAAATGAGCCGAGTGTGGTGGTGCAGGCCTATGATCCCAGTTACTCTGGAAGCTGAGGCAGGTGGATTCCAATTTTTAAAGCCAGCCTGGACAATTTAGCCAAACCCTGTCTCAAAAAACTAAAAGGTCCACAGATGTAGCTCCCTTACCTGGGAGCATAGTCTGGTATGTGCAGTGGCCTGGATGCAGTGCCCAGCGTGGCAAAGAAGTGTGCATGCTAGGATGCAGGGCGTTTGGAGAGGCGATTGCCATAGGTTCACGACATTGGACCTGAGTCCAGGAGCTCTCAGAACGTCTTGTGAAGTGGGGAAGGAAGTCTCTTATTTTTAATCAGGTGTGACCTTTGCTGTACGTTTGTGCAGAAAAATAACAAATCAGCCAAAATTTCTGAAAGTTAATGCATAAATGCAAATACATATTTGAATATTTAAAAGTTATTCATGTTGATTTGATTTTCGTTCTACATTTGTGAGGTTTTTGTTAAATAGCCACCTTAGTATCCACAATGTAATTTAGAAATTCTGAGAACAGTGTTAATAACAATGATTGTTAATTGCAAATATATAATGAAGAAATATAGCAATTTCAATTGTGTTATTTACATTTTCCCAGCTAGGTCTTTCTAGTAAAGGGTATAGGAATTTTACGGTAAGTTTGGTCCCTCACAGCATGTGGGATGATTCTGATTTGCTTTTAAAAATAATTCACAGACATGTCAACTTTCGCTTAACACTTTGACTCAACACTTGAAAAAGCAAGTGATTCTGTGTAAAAATGAAATATGCTAAAAGCTGTGGCAGTCTTGCCATGTTTGCAGTAAATGTGGAGCATGCATCGTTGAAGACCCAGCAGCGTGCTGGGTACGTGGTTGGTAGGAAGGGAGCTGGGCCCCTCCAGTGTGTGGTTTATGATGGCGTGGTGAGAGAAGAAAAAAACACGATTATGGATTCAGGGACAGTGCAAGCTGAAGTCGGAGAAGTTCAACTGTAAACACAAGGGGAAAAAATCACGTTCTGGCTCTGAGGTGACTTCAAGTACTTCTTGGAATAAAGTCAGCATTTTAATGATTGCAAGATTCAGCAGCCCTGCTGCGTCCAGATCCAGTCCTCCTGCTCACCACCTACAGGAGTGACCGTCGCTGGCCTCCCACAGATGCTCCAGGAGAGCTGCTCAGAATCAGCCCGAGGTGCTAAGCATGACTGTATCCTTCACCTGGAAAACACTGCGTTGAGTTCATAGAGCTCAGAGAGTCTGGGAACAAGTCGATAGTCACATGTGATGGTTTCTAAATCCTTGCCTTGAATTGGGTGTGATGTTGGCCTTCCCTCTCACAATGTTGTCGTCTTGAAGTGAGGACACACATGGTCCTGTCATCCCTGCGTCTACCCTTCCCAGTAGTTCTAGAGAAATGAGTGTAAAGGAGTGAATGAAGGAGGAAGCTCCTTCCTAAAGTCCTTGTAGGGCACCCAGCCCAGTCAGCAGCTTTGACCCCTCAAGTTTCTGACCTTGACAGGCAGCAGAAGATGACGGAGAGTGAGAGGTTTCCCCTGAGCAAGCGGCCAATTCCTGTGTGCTTCACAGGCAGGGGTGGGGCCCGCCATTGTGCCACCTGGGGGAAGCCGGCACCCAGAGGTGTGCTGCAAGGAGCTGGGCCATCTGCACCCAGAAGCTTTGCACACCCTCCCCCTCCTCCCCCTCCCCCTCCTCCCCCTCTCCTCCCCCTCCTCCCCCTCCTCCTCCTCCCAGGTTTATTGCTGGGACTGTGCTCCTTGTGTTCCTGGAAGAAGCTTCACCAGCAGACTGTAATCACAGAGCACTTTGCTGGCCCTGACCTCCTCTGTCATTCTGTTCACTGCACATCCCTGACTCGCAAGATTTTTTTTTTTTTTTTTGGTTAAAAAAAAAAAAAATACACACACACAGTTTAAAGTGAAATTATTTAAAGGAAAATTCCAACTTTTCTATTGTGTTATGTTAAAAGAACAGTGTAGAAAAACATGAGTTGAGGAAACGTTTTACTAAATCTCTGTAGGAATAGAAGATGGTGACTCTACCCTCAGGATGTGCTTTGAAGGTCTCGTCCAGCGTCAGGCATTGCGTTTGCACTCTGTGCAGGAGCTATTGCATACATGCCTACTGAGTAAAAGGCAGAGCTCCCCATCACCGCCGGCAGCCGAGAGTAAAGTAGCTTCTGGAGCCTTCACAGTCCTCATTTCTACCTCCTCATTGCCTTAAAGATACACAGGATTCATTTTAATGGTGACATAGGTGACAGTGTGTCAGACATAAATATGCTGGCAACACCAGCAAACCCAAGGAACAGCCACAAGCCTGTGCGATACTGGACTGATAAAATAGTAGATCAAAAGTATTTACTGTCATATATATCTAAAAAGACCAAATAAAAAAATATTTGACCTTATCCTAAAGTCTAGGGCCTCTCCATCACCTATTGGCTAAGGATAAGCTCTTCAGTGTACATTCAGGGGCCTTAAATACTATTTCATTACATCCCATTTTTTTTTATTCTTTTAGTACCTTGTGATGCCTCCTGTGTAGCCCAGAAACAGCACTCTAGTGTGTATGTGTATATATTTTTCTCAATCACACACATACATATACCTCCATGTACATATTTTTAGCCATTTCATACTTGTAAGATTTGCCCTTAATCTCTTTCCTGTTCCATGTGATGACAGTTAGTAGTAGGGTATTCATCAGTATACTTACACTTGTTGACTAATATGTTGCCATGCTAGTGTCAAATAGGCAGTATCTCCCCGAGTTTGCTTTCCCATCCGTTCCCCTCATGCAGTAATGCCGGTGTGTTGCTCTTGGGGGGACTCTGCTCTAGAGAAGGTCGAGCATCTTGTGCATTTGATTCCTCTTGTAACTGCATTGCTTAGCCCTGCCCTCCTGGTAGCAGGCAGCCCCCAGCCATGGTGTTAATTCAGACAGAGTAACAAGTGAGACCTGTGATGGTGGTGTGGTGGCTGCTGCCAGCAAGACCCTGGGAATTTCTGGTCACTTAATTTCAAAACTGGACAACAGGAATAACAATAATAAAATCGGCACACTTCATCCCATGTGTAGCATTCCCAAGAAGCCATGCGCTTGCTTTCCCCATGTGCTCGCTCTCCCACGGCAAGGGAGCTCGGCAGTTGTTTGCACCTCCATGTTATTGATGAGAAGCTACCTGGGTGACCCACGTTGCTAGTGGACTGGGAACTAGTGTTGGTCTCCTCAGCCCCACTGTGCTTTCTACCACTACCACTGCATGTTCCAGGAACCTTCCTGAACCTTCCCACCATAGGACTCTCTCTGTATCAGGGTGCACCATGACTCCCTCCTGCCCTGGGCTCCACCGTGGCTGGTTCCACCTTTAGGGAGGTGCATTTCCTTTGTGTGCTAACACCCCACTCCGGGCACACTGAATGCAGACAGCTTTGGTTTTGCCTGTTAGCTGTTCTTTGACTAAAAGTCTCATGGAATAGGCTCCGTTATCTGTAGGCTCTTCTTTCCCTTCCTCCTCCTGGGCGTTAACTGCTGTTTAGATTCTTTACTAGGGAAGTCAGCAGTGGATACTCAAGGAGGAGAAATTATTAGAGGTTTTAGTTTTCTGGGTTGGCTGGTAAGGAAAAGGTATTAAAGCTGTTTAGCAGGAGGGACAATAAGAAGAATCTGGATTTTTACATGATGAATAATTTAAGAGACCTGTGTCAAAGTGGTATCAGAATTTTAGTGATCAGTTACAACTTGCCTCAGGAAGGGCCAATAAATTACTCTAAATGGGGCTGGGGTGGTGGCTTAGTGGTAGAGCGCTTGCCTAGCATGCGTAAGGCACTGGGTTCGATCCTCAGCACCACATAAAAACAGAATAATGTGAAGTAAAGATACATATATAAATAAATAGTTGTTAAAAAAATCACTTTAAATGAAGTATTTGTTTAGTTAGGGCTATATTCACGTTAAAAGTTATGTTACTTTGTAAAATTTTGCTGGAAAATATTGGCTCTAACGTTTACATTAATATTATGCTATATATTTTATTTAGCTTGAATTAAAATATTTGGCACTGTTTAAGACTTAGG